AAAAAAAAAAAAAAAAAAAAAAAAAAAGGAAATATTCTGTTTTGAGATAAATCTCGTTTAAACTTTAGATCGTCCTCTAAATTTCTAGAATGCATTCCATGCAACTATGTAAAATGCTATTCCCTTTAGCATAAGACTTTCTGATTAAGGTGGAACGGTGTATTGGTTAGCACCCTAATCTCCCTATAGAAATTAGATTATTTGTTCAAGATATTTATATAGTCTCGTATTCAATTAAACTGTATTATACAGAGATTATCGATGTAATAACGAGTTTACCAAATAAAGCAAGTGTTCCTTTCTACGTCCACTATATAATCGATGACTCAAGAATATGAGTCATGGCGTGACAATTGAAATGATGAATCAAGGCGGTCAACCAATTACCGAACCAACCCCCGTCATATCACTCTCTATCTCTATATCTTTAACAGTTCTACTAATAAATAAGAAAAAAACATTTGAAAAGTCTCACGATTGAGTCATTTCTTTTCCCGTGTGATCCTCTTCTGGTAGCAACACTCACCTCCTCGAGATTAGGTACGACCTCGTTCAACACTTGGAGTACGGTGGGCAGATCCGAGCTGATGGTAAGCACCCTAAAATCAAAAACACTCCAACAATTACTCCCGATCGGCCACCATCGAGTATCTTACGTATGCTACAACACGTTTGCCTTTCTCTACATCGAATCGTGTCGGCGAATTTTCATTCCCCCCTTTCCCGCCCAGCAAAAAAATTAGCCGCGGAGAAACACGCTCGGAATTTCTTCGAATCGATTTAAAAAAAAAAAATTTTTCTCCCATTAAAAAAAAAAGTATTCGTCTCTTTTTTTTTTTCCTTCGTCTTTCTTTTCTTCCGTCCGAATTTTGAACGCTCCTCTTTTTCGCGAATATTCCATTATCTCGTCGTATCATTGTCTCCGCTTTCGGGAAAAAATTTTTATCGAATTATTTAATTTACATTTTAATCACCCGGCAACGCAACGATTGAATCGGGTTAATCACGAACGAGATTCACCAACGATCAGCTGCCTCTCGTCTCTTTTCGAGTGAATGGCGGGTGGAATCACCACTGGTAAATGGTTTATTGAATAAAAACACGGATAACAGGAAATACCGCTAAATACGAAACGGAATTCCGATAAACACGGAACTTTCGAAACGTTGAACACAAATTAAACACCAGATTACTTTCCCGCTCTTTCTTTCCGTTCTTTTTCTTTTTTTTTTAATAATCCGCTAATTGAAATTCCAAGGAATCGCGTCTTATTTCCCTTCCCTTCTCTTTCTTCGATCGATATAATCGGGAATAAAATTGTAGATCGAGAAAACAAAGAATTATTTTTAAAAATTACAGGTATCTTGTAAGGGTAACTGGACAAGGAATTGAAAAAAAAAATAATAAATCGAAAATAAATAAACTATTTTTATTTGAAGCTTTGTTTTCGAGTAAAATTTCCGATAAATTTTCAAGTACAACTAAAATTAGCTATTTTTTGATTAGATACAAATAATCGATAAATGGTTTTTTACGTGTTAAAATATGTAAAAAAATGTAGAATAAATTCCACGTTTTGAGTTTGAGTTTTTTTTTTTTTTTTTTTAGAAAATCGAAAATGAACGTATCAAAGAAAAATAATTTTTGAATGAAAAATTTATTCCCTCTTTTTTTTTTTTTACATTATTATTTTCACATTTTAAAGTGAACTTATTGATAGTTTATTCGTATTTAGTCAGAAATTAATCATTTTTTTAGTTGTACTTGAAAATTTAGTGAACCGAAAAGCAAAAGCTCGAATAAAAAAATTTTATTCTACTTTTAAAATATAAACACTTGTTTCTAATTATTGCAAAAAAAAAAATACTAAACTAATTAATTTATCTTGGTTTGATAGTTCCAGTTATTACTTTCACGCACGAATAAATTTCGAGGAGTTTCCATGTTTTTTTGGAATATAGGGGGCAACGCGAGGAGAAAACGAGAAAGATTTTTCATCTTCCGCGCAATTTTCAGATATCCGAACGGGTTCGAGAGGAGAATAGGATCATATTTCCCGATCATAGACCGGATTTTCCACCAGTTTTTCACATTGTATCCACTCGATCGATGGTCGCGATTCGGATAACAATTGCGACGAGAGGACGAGAGGCTGCCGAAAGTCGGGAATAGAAGCTTCACTCGCGACTTGTTTTCGCATTGGTTGGCGAAGGAAAATTACGTTTCGTTCGACACGATTCGATTACGACCGAGACACGATAATGTATTCTAATTTCGAAATAGTGTTTGAACGAAGCCGGAAGCCAAGTACGTATCGTCGAAATCAATCCATTTCTATTCGTTTTCCGTGAAAAATTCGACGATGGCCAGCGAAATTCTGGGAGAAGATCGAAAATGGAAAATTCGTTCGATTAAAATTCGAGAAAAAGTTATTGAGAAATTAAAAATTCGTCGATCTTCCGTTTTTTTTTTTTTTTTTTTTGAGAAAAAATAGAATTTAGAATCTCTATTATTTTTACTGTTCGCAAAAAGAAATTTAATTTTTCTAACGTTAAATGTATTATAAAAGAAAAAGAGAATTTAAATATGAAAAAATATATTTGTAAAATAATCGATCGAGATAATGAAGAAGAATTTACTGGCCATCGTTGTATTTGAAAAATAAGAAAATAAAAAAAATTCTATTGACACATACGTTAAATGGTTTATTTCACAAATTCTATCGCTACTTCTTTAGCAATGCACTTTTATCGATCCCTCTTTTATCAGAGCCGAAGCCTTTAACGTGTCGCAAGATAAAAAGCTGCGAGCTTTCCCTTACGAATGGCGTTCCTTCGATCGTCGCGTGATTATTTTGTTATTAGATGTTAACCATCGATTGGTAGGGTGGAGTTAGGAACGAACAATTACATACTTCCTCAGCGAAGCTGAAATCTAGCTTTTTATCTATTTTTTTTTTTTTTACTATGGCTGAAATGTGAATGCACGTTAATCCTCATCACAGACAGAATGAGTTGAATCGGTCGGTGTTTGTTTAGTGACGTGTAATTTAAAAAAAAAAAAAAAAAAAAAATTAATCCAGTGTTAGTACTAGTAGTCACACGTTCGGTGAGAGAGAAAGTGAGACAATACGATGCAGAGTGAATCATGCGAGCAGGGATAAATCGTACTTGAACTTTGACTCGAAAAAACTTCGAGATATGAATCAAGAACGATCTAAAATAAATAATAATGAGAAAGACCTATTCGTACACCAGAAAGATAAAGAAACGAGGGAAGATGGGGGGAAAAAAAAATGAGTCGATATTATTATATCGCAACAAAGAACTATTTAACCCTGCTATTTTAAGAACAAAAACTACAAAATTATAATTTTTCCCTCTTATTATTACGATATTCTAGGCATTTAATTCTACGAATAGTCAGAGGAGAAAAAGAAAGAAGGAAAGGAAAAGAAACTCCTTCTTTCAAATTACCAGCGAGAAAGTAAACAGTCGGTGAGACATCTGGTGGTGAAAATAGAAAGGACGACCGCACCGTAACCTCAAAAACCCGCGATAAATTTAATCGAACAGCGGGATGGAAAAGCGCCATGTTGGTTCCGAAATATATTTAACATATGACGTTTAAGCAGGGTTAAATATGATCGAGCCATCGTACCTTTTCCTTTGTCAGTGGTTTCCATCGAAAATCGAAGCACGGTTATATACGCACGACTTGTCTCCGTCGCGTGACTCGATTTGACTATCGCGAACAGCTGGTATTTTTTTCTCTTTCCTTTGAATCGATCCCACCCTACCAATTATGGGAACAGAGCTCCACGTTCACCCTACTGGTCGAGGTTAATCATGAGCTTTTCTCCTACGTAACGGTCGTCGTCTCGCGATCACCAGACACGAGATCGATATATATATATATATATATATAAGACGAGTCGCGAGGGAACTGTTTCTCGTTAGTTAGCCAGCGACTAGACCCTCTGAAAACCGTGAAAACGGCCATCGCCAAGCTACTTCTCTCCCTGAGAACCGATTCTCAACCGATTCGCTTCAACATGCAATCACGAACTCGGTTAACGTTTCCTTGGAGAACCAGCGTGCGTTTATTATTAATTCGTCCCTTTCGAAAGGAAAGGTATCGAAGGTCGAAAGTCATTAAAGCTTCGAAAATGAAAGCTGTATATATAGATCTCGAAACTGGAAGCTTCTCTGAGACAAAAAGAAACAGGATAAAAAAAAAAAAGAACGAAGAGGAACTACGTCTGCTGGTAAGCTTTGATCGCGAGATTCTTCACCGAGTATCCAGACGCGCATCGATGGGATGAAAAATTGAATTAACGGATCTCCTTCCATTAAAAACCTAACTGAGGGGCAGAGGCTAAAGGAGAAACTGTCTTCAATCGTTTGAGATCGAATATTTCCTCTTGATTAATCTGTAACGAACGCGCACAGATGTTGTGGATAATCTTTTAATTAAATTTAATTGAATTTCGAATTTGATTCCTATTCGATTATTATTTATCCTTATGAAACGGAACGTTGTTCAATTGCTTTTCTATCGTTGTTGTTCTTTTTTTTCCCCCTCATTTTACCATATCACAAAATATTTTTCTAAAGACACGAAAAGCTATAACGCTTCCATAATAATTTTACGTAGATTATCGAGTAATTATAAAATCGATTATTATTCGAGCCTGTATGCATCCTAGAAACACAAGTAAGGTTTGGAATCGATTAATAATTCCGTTGATCTACGGAAGCCACGTAGGCTATCGATGTGCATTTTTAAACGTAATTTAAATATTTCGTTTATCATAAATAAATTACTCGTCATCGTGGAAATTATAGATGCGAAATTCGATCGATATAACGATGGATTATAAAACGACCCCGTTGGATCTCGTTTTGCATAACCGGTAAATAAAAATAATTTATAATCGAAAATGTGGCATCTTTTTCGACTACTATAAATCCTCATTACGTCGCCATTTATTGAACTGTATAAAGAATCGTTTCCACGAAATGACTAACAGATGTGTTAATTTCTAACGACAACTCGATACGATTAATCAATCCTACTTAAATTTTTCCAAAGCGTCTAAAACCGCTAAGACTTCTCGTCTTAAACACGCTCGATCGCGTATACCACTATTCTTGTGGCAAAAAAAAAAAAAAAAATAATAATAATAATTCAAAACTACGTTCGTTAAATCCCGTAAACGCGAAATCTCTTTCGTTGCTGCCTTGGATTAAAAACTTGAATTTCTATCCAAAAAAAAAAAAAAAAAAAAAAAAAAAAAGAAAGAAAGAAAAAAAGAAATTTAGACACGTCGAATCGAAGCCATCGCGAACGAAGTTTATCACCAAATGGGGAGACGGTTAGCTCGCAAGGAATTTGGAACGAGTATGCACGAGGCCGAAACGAGGCCAGCAACGAAAGGATCGAAACGAGGCAGAGACACAGGCGGATCGCGCAGCAGGTCGGTAATGACTTTCGACTCGCGATCGGCGGACATTTTGGTTTAATTCGCACGTAATTTGTTGGCAAAAATCTCTGCCAGGACGATGATGGTCAATGGTGCGCTGATCAATGGGGCGTACCTAAAAAGAGTAAGCGTGACATATCGACGTTAAGCGTGGAATCGGCAGAGTACCCGCCTATTTCCACGGATTAGCATCCGTGTTAGCCACAAAAAAATTAGAGATAAAGAGATTGTGAAAATGAAAGAGAGAAGAAGGAAGGAAAGAGAAAT